ATTCTGAGGAAGCTTGGCACCCCCTTAAGCACGTTTCTGGTGAGTAAGCCATGTCCGAGAGAATTTGGCCCAATATATTCATTCTATCCCCTCCCCATGAGTACGCCTTCCTCAGGTCGATGGTTTCAGTAGTGTCCTTGACTCAAGAGCGGAGAAGCGGGAGAAGATTTCACGCCTTCTACCCTCACTTTACTACCCCGACTGCCCTACGACCTACGAATACTTCAAAGATGCCATAGACGATCCTCTCCGTCCCACCAACGCAGTACGACCCCCTCCCTGGACCTGTGTCACCCCGCTCGTCATGTCGCTGACATCTCAGCTCATCCGAGCACCCATGCTAGTGAATCTTTCTATTGGATCCGTTTTGACTACGCCGATCACGAGTTATATGTGCTCCAACCAAGCTTTCACTGCGTCCTTCTTTGTTGGTCACCTCTGCACTTGAGTGGTTCATGTGTTGTAGAATACGTATTGATTTTACGCGCGTGTACCACATATTCTCATGCTATGCGATGTAAGTGCAATTCTACGGATCAACCTCGACTATGAAATGTGGTAGTTAACAAGCTTATGAAAACGTTTATTAACGACAATTGCAAAAACGATAATAATATTCACAACATATATGCATCTGTTTAATATGAACAAAAAAGGCTCTGGGAGAATAGCTAACCTCGGCATGGCCGAGATCCTGACGGCAATTGGACGAGATGCTCGGTGGTGTTTGGCTGGATCAAACTCGGCCACCGCCACCGGACAACTCGTCCGTATTCCCAAATTCGACAATCTATCACAGAACAAGACAGTGAGGGCTGAACACATTGCGAATATGGTCAAATTTAGCCTAGAACGACCAACTGAACAGTCGCTACTATTGGCTTGTTTTTACTTTTCTGGGGCTGTAAACTCCGAAGAGCAAATTTGATTGATTAGGGGACGAACAAAAGCCGAACGATCAGTAGTGAGGAGGCACTCGTCAATATTCCATCTAACGTCTCGACTTAATTTGAGCAATAAATATTGAATGAGAATTTAAATTGGATAAAAGAAAATTATCTATGCAATCAAGAATGAAAGCAAGCTTCTCACCTAGAAAGTACGAATGAAACAACAAAATGAAAAAAACGACCAGTAGATTCAGCAACGAATATTTGTTAGCCCAGATTAGCCGTAACAACATGACAACAATTCGAGAGAAACGCCGTTTACAGTATCTTTACAGTATCATTCAAAAATTAAAGCAGATTTAGTGCAACCCTGGACATCTCTGGAGGCTATTGAAGATAGCTTCGAGCAATCAGACATACATGACCGCAGAAAGGCGAGAGCCGCAAGGTAGAGACGCAGAGGCGTGCGCGCGTGCGGTTCCTCTGCGGCTCTGCCGACTGACTCTCGCCTCCAAGAGTTCGGGTTTGTCCCCCGTTTTGCATACTGTAAACCGCGCAACGCAAAAATTTCGCTCTTCAAAATGCTTCTCAACAAAAATGCAGTTCATGGAAAAGTGCTACGTGATTTGATCAAGTGAACCAAATTGCAATGCGAGCTGTGAAAAAAATACGAGTTTGGGTCGATAAACAACCCCCTAGTTAAAGCCATAGTGACGTAAATGGGAAACTATCAATTGAGAAGAATACATAGAAAAAATACATCAGCCGGGATCATAGGACAGGAACGGACAAATAATGAGGGAAATACCTGCACATCGGGAATTAAGACTCATCGGAAAAATTGTACAAATTCAACTGAACAGCGCCACCACGTATGACGACGGTGGTCTACAGATCTAGACGAAGAAACCGTCATCGTGTCGCGACGGCCGAATCGTTGCCGATCGCAACGGCAGCGTCGTCGTCGTCTCAGCCGCTCGCGACATACCGCGAGCGTCTTGCAGCTGTGCCAGAGCGCTGCGAATTCGTTGGAATTCTTCCGATATCAAGCCTGTAAAGGTAACAATATCATTTCTATCCTGCTTATTTTTTATTTACTTTTAATTTACTTATTTATTTTTATTACATATCATTTTCGGAATAGCGAAAAATCAATGAAAATAGAGCAGACTTAGGGATGCATAAAATTGAAAAAAGTCAATCTATTCCAAAAAAGGCGAGTCAGAAAAGGTGTCCGAGGAACGTCCTATTACGTGAGATGCGCGGCGCGGTTGCGACGCGGTTTTTTTTTGAATTGTGTGCCAGTTCTAATGCGCAGTTTATTCTGTCTACTTATACGGCTGCTTCACACAAGCAGCCGAAGAGGGACCCATGGGATGAAGACAACTTAGTAAAGCCAGACCACCCCTAAAAAATTCTAGGTTATGTTGTTTTTTACTCAAGAATTTTATTTTTCTGATTTTGCGTACTACAAGAACAGACCACCATGCGAACGCGCCCCTCTTTGTCACAAAAAGCGTTCGCTTGCTGTTATCTAGTCGCGTTGACTACAACGCTCAACTCCAGCACCTCCACAGAAATGCGAACTGTGTGACCTACGTTTATTAAAAAATTTAGAATGCTGACGATAGGAACATCAGCGGAGAGCAAAACTCACCAATAGCCAACATATCAAGATGACTTCGCCGTGCAAGATCCGTGACGGTGAAAATGCCTTCCTTGTTAAGTTTCTCAGTACAATGACTCAAATTCAGAGATCGCAGGAACTCGGCTAACGTAGGTAACGCTGAGGGATGAACATTGGGAATCATTGGACCGCCTGGTGAGCCGGTCGGTAAACTGAACCCGTTGCCACTGATACTAAAAATGGAATATGAGCTGAGAAGCATTAAATTTCAATAAATATTGAAATGTGAAGGTTACTCACTTCGCTGTAGAGGTCGCTAGACGACCAGTAATAAACGCAGCATTGTCCACGTAGATTAAATCTGGATTCCTGGCGTATTTCTCCAGGATCGCTAAGATCTGAGCAAAAGTAGGCCTCTCGTGGCGGTCCAGTCGCCAACACCATAGCATCAGTCGATGCAAGGCAATTGGGCAGTCCATTGGTGCCGGAAGACGATAGCCAAGCATTATCTCACTTATTACCTGGAAAGAAAAATTTGAGCAGCAGTCCACGAAAGGTCCTGGAGCATCCTGGCTCACCTTCTGATTCGTCCAATCCCAATATGGTCTCTCCCCGAATGAGCACACCTCCCAGACGAGTACACCAAAACTCCACACATCAGATGCCGCGGTAAACTTTCTATGGGTTATAGCTTCAGGTGACGTCCACCGAACCGGAATCTGAAGAGAAGAGCTCATGAATTTTTGGAACTACACTAGGCACCAGTCTTAGTGAGCATCAACTGGTGGACTAGACCCACTTTTCCGCCATTGGTAGTGTACTCCTGCTCAGCTGAATCGTCCACACCACGCGACAATCCGAAGTCGGCTATCTTTGCAGGTAAGCTCCGAGTCTACCAGCACATTACGTGCAGCCAGATCCTAAAGAAACAATCTTGAAGGGCGACCGAGGTCCGTACGAAAAAGCCCAGGGGCTCAGGGTAGCGAGATGATGGAAAAAATAACTGCACACTAAAAGAACTACAGTATCCAGACAATTGTTGGATACAGTACTCCCTCAAGTGCGCAGAGCTTTTCCAATTTCCAGCTATGACCTACACCTCCACATTTATGGGTTTAGAAGCGAACTCACCCTATGAACATATCCTTTGTCAGTCAGGTATTTCATACCAGAGGCAATGCCTCGCAACATATCGACAATTCGCGGCCAACTCATTTCTTCTCCACGTGCGTCTTTCCCACGGAGCAAATGGTCCAACGAGCCATTTGACATGAATTCGGTCACTAAAAAGAATTCGATCAGTGCTTATCAATGATAACACGAAAACAATCGACGGAGTAGAAAAAAGTTAATTTTAAAACTGCCAACAAAGGGGGCGTGGCTTTTCCGAAGCGCGCGGTCGCGGTGCGGTTACCAGCCGTTCAAGTCAGCAACTGTGAAGAATATCACTACGGCTGGTTCCCTTCTACCTTCTCTATACTTCCCTTCCTCGAAAATTACATTCTGAAACACCCCAGCACATGCGTAGTTTGCAGAAAGTGCTAGCCGCATCGCTACCGTGCGCTTCTGATGTACACAAAAAAAAACACATCAAGGAGATGTCATTGTCCATCAATAATATGATACTTGAGGCGACATTAGCTCACCTATCATTGCCGGTTCCGATCGAGTAACCACACCAATTAAGCGAATCACATTCGGATGTGCAAATTGTCCCATAATTGACGCCTCCAGCAAAAAGTCGGCCTTCGCTTTGGGGCTGCTGCCGGGTTTCAGTGTCTTGATAGCCACTACGTCAATCTGAACGGAGGACATTGAAATTCATTCCAACGACCAGAAAATAAACTTCAGAACGGTCAATCAATAACTACGAGTGTTACCCTCATTGTCGAAGATACTATTGG